ACAAAGTTACCAAGTTACTAACTACTAAGTTACTAAATAATATTAAGTTACTACAAAGTTACTAAGTTACTAACTACTAAGTTACTAAATAATATCAAGTTACCAGAAAGTTACCAAGTTACTAATTACTAAGTTACTAAATAATACTAAGTCACTACAAAGTTACTAAGTTACTAACTATTAAGTTACTACACAGTTACTAAGTTATTAACTACTAAGCTACTACTAAGTTACTAAATTATTAACTACTACTAAGTTACTGTATAACTGCCGAGTTACTGCATACTAACGTTATTTAATTAATCAAAAAGGAATCCATTTTTATCCTCTTTTCTACTCGTATATCACCACCATTGCTATACCACATTCAGTATACTTACATACATTTACCATCTGGAATATTTCCAAATAATTATCATTGCTCCCTAATAAAGACCATTAGCTACATAACCTCATTTTGCACGAAAAATTTATTCAATCTAGCAACTCAGATGTACTTCAAAGAAACCTCTTCAAGGGGTAGACTAATAAGGGGTTGATTAGTAAGTAGAATTACAAATCTCATTCTCAAAGTTAAATATCGATATCGAATGCCAGAATACGGCATTTTAAATTCGATTCGAGGATTTTAATAGCAACTGGTCACCCACGCCGTCTAGCATAAACGGACCCCGAATCTGACGAATCCTTCAAATGGAATCCGACGTAACGGTCCGGGGACCGTACCAAAACACCTTTCGGGGACTTGGAGATCGTCGAGTAATCGTTTACCATATACGTTTTCATGGCGGCACACTTTTGGTTGTTTTTTCAAGGCCGATGTTTGGTCCATCGATCGATCTAGGCGTTTCTTTTAATCCAAAGCCGTTAGAATTTTCGACGAACGGGAGGATCGAAACGTTTGGTTGACGCCGAGTTCACCGCGGTTTTCGATTTGCATTGCAAATTGCAGCTGCGAATGATACCGCGTCGGTCGTTTCGGAGACGAAAGCTTTCGCCTTTTAAACCACGTAGATCGATGATTTGCTTAGCAATCGAATTTAAATTCTATTGGTGGGATTAGGTTTCTCTGTGTGATTTATTGGGAGACTGACCGATTATCTTTGGGAATTTGAATATTTGAAAGCTGAGATATTCGACAATATCGAGGTCACAAATTTAAATATTTAATCGTTCTAACGGATAAAAATTCCACCATTTGAAAATTATATTTACCAAAAATTCAAACCCTTCAAGATTTTAACTGTTTGAAATCCAAGATCGAAAATTCAAATCTTTTAACATTTGTCAAAAATTGGAATCCTTAAACATGCTACCACCTCAAAATTAATATTTTCGAAAATTCGAAATTTTAACAATAGAAATTCAAGATTTAGACATTGATATAATCAGAAATTAGGCTACTATTCTTCCAATTTAAAACTTCGAAGCTTAGGAGCCACCTTTCATCGATCCACACTCCCAGAAAAATAATCCTGAACATAACCTCTTATTCGCTGTCTAAAACAGAGTGCATCATCGGTAAATAGCTAAATTCGAGTATGAAAAGCGGATATCGTTTTTCTGCAGGCTATCCTCGAGATTCAATTGCCTCGACAGCACGAAGGCAAGACGAACTCTTAATGTCTTCTTTTAGATGTCGGCAATAACTTCCAAAACGATCAACTGCTCTCTCGTGAAGCATGCATCATTGGGGACGTAAATGTGGCAGTTCTAGTTCCAGCTTTCTAACGTAACTCTTGCGGCTCGTATAGGTGTATAGAAAAATATGCCTGACACGCGCGATAAATAAACCACGTTCCCATATTTATTTCCAAACACACGTACGTACATCGACAACGAAAAATATTCGCTCAGCGCTGAATCTGAATCCTCGAATTCCGCTCTGCGGTCGCAAATGGCGGACCTCTGCATCTCTCTGCTCGTTAATTCCACTTTTATTCTCGTCGCGACATCGGCATGGAAATTTTCGAGAATTCGGGAGAGGAGATGGCGCGTGAAGCAGTGCTTTCTTCTTTCGAAAATTAAACCAGGTGAACGAAGTCACCTGCACACACGAATCTGCAGGGTCTCGCGAGCACGAGGCTCGAACTTGGCACACTTCGTCACACACGCCTTCTTCCTGGCGTAATTGTTTCTTGTTACGGCACGCGGTGCCGCGATATTTACTTTCTTTACGAGCGTAATATAACGCAGGTCCGTTGCTTTCTAGCGTGTTTTTCACCTCGATTCGAGTTCTCGCCGGCCCAAGAGCCACGGAATCGCTTCCGTGCACGTGTCGAGCAATTCTTTCGCACGGTATGCCTCTCCTATTGTCGATGTGAACGAATCAAGAGGAAAAGTCGGGAAAATACAGGAGAATGAAACGGTGAAACGGCCGATTACACGAGTAAAGAGTCGGTGAAATGGCGTTGATAAATCGTATTTTCCATCGCAGTCCCGATTTCAGCCGCTGTTTACGCGTTCTACGCTCTCTACCCGAAAAAGCAGCAGGTGAGAAGATCACGAGCGATAAGGATCGTGAACCGAATGCAGTTTACATTAATAAACTCCTCAAGCTTTCTTAAATACGCAGTTCCTTGCTCAAGAACACACGGAGGAAGCATATCCGTGGGGGTAAGGGAAAACGCTGCGTGAATCGATTTAAAATAATTCTGCTTTATTTATTAACTGGACCGCGGAATACACGATTTACGTATTTATGGGAAAGAAATTATTAAGAACGAACTTTACGTTGGAAAAGTTATGCAATTCAGTCGAATGCTGAGAGAGAGAGAGAGAAAGAGAGAGAATTGACTTGGAAAAATTGAAAATGAAAATATTATTTCTGTGTTAATTAAATGTCCATGATCTTTTAATTTTGTTTACACGTGATTATACCATATTTTGAACCTATTGGAAAGAATTTTTAGATATAATAACATTCCTATTATGTTTAAAATTATAATATAATAAATTATGTCAAAGGAGATGCACAGTTTTGACATACACACGATTAGACTATACTTTGAAGCTACTCGAAAGAATTTTTAAACATAATAATGTTCCTATTTAAAATTATAATATAATAAATTATGTTAGACGAGATGCAAACATGATTTTCCTCAGAGCCATAGAAACAAACTCGTAATTGCTATTTTTGAATATTTCTTTTTAACCTAAAAATATGACAAAGAGATACTGTTTTATATACCAATAAACAATACGACCTTTCTAAATAAATTCCATAAAGCATTTTTATTCTTTATCCCTGTATTTTGATAGGTAAAAAAAAAAGATATATTAAATTAAACGAAATGCATAGTCTTGCATGATTTTCCTCAGATAATTCTCAATCTAAAATACGACGAAGAGATACTGTCTTACACACCAATAAACAATACGATCTTTCTAAATAAATTCCATAAAGCATTTTTAATTTTTAGCTCTTTATTTCAATAGGCAAAAAGGAATAAATAAATAAATAAATTAAATTAAACGAAGTGCATAGTCTTGCATGATTTTCCTCAGATAATTCTCAATCTAAAATATGACGAAGAGATATTGTCTTACACACCAATAAAAAATACGATCTTTCTAAATAAATTCCATAAAGCATTTTTAATTTTTAGCTCTGTATTTTGATAGGTAAAAAAAAAAATATATTAAATTAAACGAAATGCATAGTCTTGCATGATTTTCCTCAGATAATTCTCAATCTAAAACATGACGAAGGGATACTGTCTTAAATATATTTCACAAACCATTTTTAATTATAATCTCAATATTTTGGTAGATAAAAAATGAAAAAAGTATCCTGATTCTGCGTTTTCTATCGAACATTCGATAATCTCCGAATGCACCCCCAAAATACTGTACTATCAATCAAGTCCACGAGTATCGAAGAAACCCTGCGAAGCATTACAACCGAGCCTAAATATCGAAGAAAAATGTGCACGTGTCGTGCGATCGGAATGGAAGCAATGCCGATAGCATCGGCGATGCCTGTCGCAGTGGTTGTAGCAAAGAAATGGCCACTCATTGGGCCGCTGGCGTGCGTGCTCCACATCCGTGACACGGTTCTCGCGGTGGGTCGTGGCTGTGTCCAACGCGTCCAGGAATCCGCGCGGCTGTGTACGTAAAACGGCAACAAACGCCTCTACTTACGTAGGATCTGCGGAGTCGCCGAAGGTGTCCGCCAAAGGGGGAACCAGTTTGCGGGAACGCGAGCCCTCGCCTCGGGATCTCGGGTCGGTGCTCTTTTCAGCGAGATCGCGCGCGTAGAAGGAGGCAATCGTGCGCAATGGATCCCACCACCAGGTACCCGGCGACCAGTCAGCCAGCCAGCTCGTATCACAGGCAAAAGTGGGCACCACCCGCCCCCGTGTGAGCTGCCGGTTTCCGCGCCTCCTGCGGGAAGGTGGTGCTTGTGCAGCACGTTTTCGCGTACGCACCTTCCGCCGGTGGTCTACGTATATAAAGTGGCCGGGGCGAGACCACGGGTTCAGAATACTCGCTACGCTCGATACACGCATCGGGTGGCTACTTAGCACACGCGGCCAAGGGACGCCTTTGACCAGCGATCAGCTCAGACAGGAAGGACAGAGAAGAGGCGACGTCCCTCGGTTAAGTGTCCTCGAAACGGCTTCCGATCTCCGGACCTGAGGACTGACATTTTGGTAGGTACCTTGGACAGGGTCATCTTATTCCGGAATAACTTTTGGACGGGTTATTGGACACTTTTCGCGATCGAGTAATCGAGTTTCTCGTGATGCTAGTCTTGGGGTAGCTTGGATTTTGGCATATCGAGGCTAGTCTCTGTCAAATTTGCAACAGTAGTGGAATGTGCTATAAAGATTAACGATCTGTCTGTTAGGCTTTTGGCTATCTGCGTTGCTAGTCCAAATTTGGTACAGGGTTGCTCATCACAGGTGTGAGCATAGTGATTCTTCATTTACGAAATAAATTGTTAAGAGAGACTTTTAGTGTCATTAGATTATACTGTTATACAGAAGAACAAGATGAAGGCTATTCTGTTATTCCTGTCGATCTCGTGGCTGGCCATGTGCTTGGCGACCCCGTTGGAGAAGCTCGACAAGATCAGCGTCATCGAGCAGCAGTCCGTGACGCTAACGGATCGGGTAAAATACGAGGAGGAATTGCTGCGGAAGTTGAACTTCAAGTGCTCGCAGAACGACATCAGCAGCTGCGTGATGCTGAAACTGATTACCTACATGAACAAGCTACTGAAGAAGGCGTCGATCGAGCTGACCGACGACATCGAGATCAGAAAAACCAGCCAGACGTCCGAGGAACTGACCACCTTCGAGGTTGGCAGAAGCAAAGACGACGATTCCGAGGTCCTCGACCTTGTCGCGAACAAGGTGTACGCTTTCGTCAAGTCCAGGAGTATCAAGTGGAGGATCCTGCCCGAGGACGACGTCGTCGTTTCCGCTTCGGAAGACGAGAACGGGTCGTTGAATCTTGGCCTGTCAATTGAACGGGCGGACAATGTTCCCGAGCAGGATGGTAATGAAATCTTTGATATCTATAGATACTAATTCTTCCAGAGACATATAGTTAAGGGTACAGTGATCAGTTACAGCCCCCTAAATTCTCAAAACAACCCTAAACCCATGAAAAAAACTCTTTAAACCCCCTAAATGTTGACAGAAATTAGCCCCAAAAATCGCCAGTTGCTCGTTTTATCCAGATTCCTATGTACACGGTTCTCACTCTTGATGCCCAATTATCATCCACGTTGACACTCGCTTTTACTCTCCGCTTCCTCATCACGTTTGGTGTAATTCGAACGCAAATCCTCCGGGCTAGCAATTTGGTCACGCCTGAGTAGACTTTACTAGCATAGAAAGTCCGAGAGTTTTACCTTCCTCGACGAAAGCGATATCACTGGCTGATCCGTCATCTGCCTTTCAGGACGTGGCAAGAAGAACAATAACCTTGGTCCACTGATCGCCGCGGCGGTGCTGAAGATCGGTCTGATCGGCGGTCTGGCCTTCAAGGCGCTCGCGTTACTAGTTGGCAAGGCGTTGCTTCTTTCGAAGATCGCTCTTCTCCTCGCCGGTATAATCGGCCTGAAGAAGCTGTTCTCTCAGCAGAAGCACGTGACATACGAGGTGGTGGCGCATCCTCATCACAGCTCGAGTCACACGTTCAGCTCGGATCATGGCCACGGGGACAGCTACTCGAGCGGCTGGGCCAGGAGTTTCCACGGTCAAGGTCCGATCTCGGGGCAACCCGACGCTCACGATCTGGCCTACTCGGCGCACGTGAAGTGAGTCCAGGCAGCAGACCCGTGGATTCGGATTCGTGGTACCTGATGCCTAGACCGTGGTCAGGACCACCGATTCTTGCCAGCACATTCTTGCCGTTAAATTTAGTCTCTAATTCCTTACCGATCTTTCACCTTTTACTCATTCTCTGTCATTTTTCATCGTTTTCATCTCTTCCACCCTTATTTTCTATAACGATCATTCTTACTCGTTAACTATGTCGGACTGACTATGGACAGAGACGATTCCCCACGAGATATCGTTTGGACCAATTGGATTGACACTGTACACGGATTTTGACTGTCTAGTTGACTATTACAGACGACTATGATCGCGTTCATTACGTAATCCGCGTTGATCGTCCCACCGGCCTCTAGATTATGCGATAGCTATGTCAGTGAATCGCGTATTTCACGAGGCATTACCAAGTCGATTCACGCTCACGACGGACGAGACGCTCCCATCGACACGGAAAAATACAGACGCACGAGGACGGACTGCATAGCTTCTTGTAACTATACTCTATTTATCGAATAATTTATCATTAACTTATTAGAGTGCCTTCCCGCCATCGCGGGACGCGGATTGTACAATGATGTTACATTTACGTTGTTCTTTGTATAAATAAATATTTATTGTTCTTTTGTAAAGCGTCTACACACCTACATCTAGCTAATCCTGTACGGGGAAATTAGCGCAATGTCCGAAGGAATCATTTGTATTTTAATTTCTACCTGCGCTGTGTTACACTTGTTACAGGAATATTAAAAATAGCTATAAGAGGATTAAAAGGTCACGGTGTTTAGAGAAACGTTTTATCGAAATTATTATAATCACGTAATAAAAGGAGTACGCGAGTGTCCGTTCATTTACCTAGCATAACCCAAAAGTGATCGTATAACAGAGTGACATAGAAGCCTTGTTCCCTAACCAGAGAGGATAGGTAGGTTGCAAATACGTCTCTAATTGAGCACCATTATCCTGAATTACGGTACTCGAGATGGCCGATAGAAATTACAGGTTTAACACCTTGTGTCATCTTCATCGCCGTCTATCACAGCTTTGCTGCACGGTAATTACGATTACACGCGAGTAAGAACTCTGTAACCGGACCCATCTCGTAGCCCCGCGAGACCGACCCGCCATTTTGCCGATCGCGCCAGCTATTTCCGTTCTAGAAGAATCTCGCGCGATCGTGACGAATTAACGGGCCCAATAATTCGTTATCCCTGGTCTGTTTCCCATTAGAAAATCTCAGACGAAATTCCTACTAATCGTTAACATTTTCATTAACCAAGCCAATTCTTCTCATTCATGCGTCCAGAGCAAAGCAGCGGAACGAATCTCGAGCATCGCGTCTGACAAGCGAGACACGGCTCGGGAACACGATTTTATTCGAGGAACGATTACACGCTTTATCGTGGACAGTTGAATGGAGTATCTCTGACCGTTCGATGGCAAAAATATGCCAAATGTCTCGTGGTATTCATCGCGTCGCGCTTCGCTTTGCGGAACTTAGCGGGACTTCGATGCCAGGTGTGACGATGGCGTCGAGTCGCGCTAGGAATTTCATACCGATTCCTCTATATTTCGATTCAGAACAGACTATAATTCCATTTAATCTCACGTTCGACGAATTAAAATATCTCCCAAACTACCGCAAGACGCTGTCATCTATTGCCATTGCGACACTGGTCTGATAAAAAGAGAAATATGTAACGGATATCGGAAATGTATAGATTATATCGCGTTAAAAAGCTATGTAGAGCAAAGGATCCTAGAAGGAATCGTAAAAATAACTTTCCACGATCGCGAATGACAACGACGATCACGATGGTATCCCAAATTCTCGACGCCTCGAGCAGCTATCCCTACCTCGGTGTCTGTGGACTTTCGGAGGCGTCGAAGATGATCGGAACGAAGGGAAAACTACCGGAGGCGCGCGATGCACGAGGCATCTCTCAAATTCAAATAAGTCGTCCCCGTTTCGCGTTGGCCGCTTTCTCCGCCTCGATTGGGAAGGATCGGAAAGGAGATGACGGCTCGATAAGGGACACCCGGGAGAAAGAATCTCCGTCTCTCTCCCTTCTTCGCTCCCCGAGATCAACTTTCGGTTTCGGGTACGGGAGAGAGGCGGTCGTCATCGTTGACCCAGTTCTCGATCGTCGTAAATCGGAAGAAAAAAGAAAGATCGACACGTGCGGATCGATACCGTAGCTCGAACGCGAGAATTCGACAGCCGATTTTTCATAGCCCGCGATTGGCAGCAGTTAGCGTTCCTCGCGTGGATGGGCCAGTAGGGCCGCGAAAAAATGGCGAATAACTTGGACAGGCTCGAAATTTCTATGTTTCCGTGATCGAGATTGTTCCTCGATCGAAAATTCCGTCAATCGATTTCTTATAACTCGCGATAAGGGTACTTGGCTTTCCTCGCGTGGGTGGGCCAGTAAGGCCCAGAAGAAATGGCGAATAACATGGACAGTTTCGGAGTTTCTATGTTTTCGTGATCGAAAAGTTTTCCTCGATTGAAAATTCGTCAATCGATTTCTTATAACTCGCGATAAGAGTACTTGGCTTTCCTCGCGTGGGTGGGCCAGTAAGGCCCCGAAGAAATGGCGAATAACATGGACAGGTTCGGAGTTTCTATGTTTTCGTGATCGAAAAGTTTTCCTCGATTGAAAATTCGTCAATCGATTTCTTATAATTCGCGATGGCAGCACTCGGCGTTCCTCGCGTGGGTGGGCCAGTGAGGCCCTGAAAAAATGGCGAATAATTTGGACAGGTTCGGAATTTCAATGTTTCCGTAATCGAGACACGTTCCTTGATCGTTCGTCAACCGATTTCTCATAACTCGCGACGGCAACACTCAGCGTTCCTCGCGTGGGTGGGCCAGTAAGGCCCAGAGGAAATGGCGAATAACTTGGACAGCCTCGGAATTTCTATGTTTCCGTGATCGAGACACGTTCCTCGATCGAAAATTCGTGGCCTGGTTCCTTTTCCGGGCAGCGTTCTCGCCGGATTCGGAGAAATTCGTCGCGAGAGGTGAAAGTATCCGTAGGAATCGATCGGATCTTCTTATTATCGACGGAGGAGGATGTTGAACGGACGTTTAACGGTGTCGACGAGTCTGTGAATGATCGTCTGCCTCTCGCCGACACACATTTCGTCCATCGAAAGGAGAAAACGTCTCTCATAGATTCTAACGCGGCGACGGAAATGTACGGAGAAACCTGGGCCCGATTAAACGCTCTCGGCTTTTTTGCCGCGGGGAAACAGGGACACTCGGCCTGGCGAATTTTACCGAGCTGAATTTGCACGCTCGAAAAGCGGACGATCACGCTGTACAGTTACTAGACCTGTCGTTATCGCGAAATTTACGACCGTGAGCTGTGGACTAATTAAAGACCGCTACTTCAACGGGGCAAGAAGAACGCTGAGACTCTAAATACACAGGACCCTGTCGGTGATCCACCAAGAGACTAGAGAAGAACCGAGAAGATTCACCGCCTGATTTCATCAAATTTCGAATACTCGTGGTATTCGCGAAATCGGTGCACGAGAATCGGTACCGAGAACGTTCCAAGCGACGAAACCTGGCCCAAGACGTCTCGAGGGATCCCTAAGACCCAAGACGTCGATCCCAGCTACCCTTCCTCGCTTCTTCCGAACGAATGAAAAGAAGAAACGAGGGAGAGAAGGAACCAGGAAGTGTCTGGAATCGGACGCGAGTCCCTCGCGATCGTCGATCGGGTTTCAAGGATACACGATCGTCCGTGTGGCGTGGCGTCGTGGCGAGGAACGAGCGAACGGTTTCGAACCGGGCCTAGTTATACCTACCAGCCGGCGTTACGTATATGTATACGGTGTATCGTTGGAGCAGAACGCGAAGGGAAGTGGAACAGAAGAGAAAGGTATGCGGAGAGATGAACTAGTTTCGTTCGCCGATCTGGCCTGGTGTCGATCGAGCCAGACCACCGATCGCGCCTCCCACCTGTTCCGTCTACGCGCGCACGATCCTCACGAAGGGTCTCGTGATCGTTCCGTTCGGCCAGCATGATTTCCCGGGCCATGGAAAACGGTCTTCATGGTGGCTAATATCTGGCGCGGACACGACTGACTCGCGTGGCCGTTCGTTAATTGCATATTGAAAGATGAGCAACGCGCAGTCACGCGGCGTACAGAGCGCGTTTCGAAATCGGCCACGTTCTCTTCTGCTCCACTAAAGCGCGGAAAGAGGGAAAGGAAGCCGTATCCGGAGCCTGGGACGGGCGGGGTGCGCCGGTATCAGGAGACGTTGATATCCAGTGATCTAGAATAAAAGAGGCGCGAAGACGAGAGGCATGGGATCCGCAAACGGAGAGAAAACGAGAGCCTGCCACGGCGAGATGAACGGAGACGGCTGTGGCGGAGGCGTAGGCCCGCGTCGCGCGTGCTGGTCGCGCCTGCTCGCTCGCTCGCTCGCCGGCCTCGCAGCCAACCGCGGCGTAACGCTCTAAAACGTTTCGAAAATAAGAAATAAAAAAAACAATCCACGGGAGGATCGGCCGAGCGGGCGAAAAATTGCAGGCTAATGCACACGGCCGACAACACGAATAAGAGAATGGTCTATGGCTGCTCCGAAGTGGCGATGCTCTCGTTGCTTTTTTCGTAGTACAATCACCGACCGGCACGTACAACTATATAAATGAGATTTGAGAAACGCCTCGATGCACCACTCGGACCTCCGCCGTAGGTTCCGTAGGATCGCTAATCTACCAGAGTGTGTCTTTAATCGCGAGTCGCGTGGTTCGATCAAGACTGGGATATCTGTTCCGTTGATAAATAGAGAGCTTCGAATTAGAGTACGAACACGGTTCACGCGATGGATTGGTCCGGGAACGCGTTGACACGCGGGCAGCAACGACGTTGCTTGGTCCTCTGTTTGCTGATCGCTTGCGTAGCCACGCAGGCCTACTCCACCGACATCAACGACACCAAGGACGCCTGGAGCACGTTCTCCACCGACTGCTCTAACGCTGACTCGAAGAACATATCAGTGTCCTGTTACGGAGTCAGGATCGTCAGGAAGATCGTGCAACAGTTGCTGGAGAAGTCCAGCAGGGAGCCCAACATCGAGATCTTCGACGGGGTCAGCCTGGTCGAGGTACCAGGAGCTAGTCCGATCAGGAAGGGAAGGTTCCTCAAGGGATTCGGCAGTATGGGCACTCTGGTGCAGTTTTTGGAAGGACGGGAGCTGAGGATCAAGCTGCCGAGCATCTTCCCGCAGAATATCGAGAGTGCTCTCCAAGAGAGTTTGCCGGTTGATCAAGGTTCATTGCAGATCCGATTACCTTACAACTCGGCTCGTGCTTCTACGGGATAATTGAGAGGTTTTGTCTTCATTTCAGCCAGAAGAGGCGGTGGTGGTGGATTTGGAGGAGGTGGCGGAAAGAAGGGAGGCGGTGGCGGTTATCTCATAATGGCGCTGATGATGGGTAAGACTATCTAGCGACTACGACCCCTAAATCCCTGTTCAACCTTGGGATAAATCCTTCGATCATTTCGATCGATTAATCGAAAACGGATATACCAAACTAGAGCTAAATTCTCCTAACTATAACGCGAATCTCCACATCTCGAATACACGAGAACCTACCCTATGTTAGACTCATCCGTATTATCCGTTCAGATTTAATCCTTTGACTACTGTGAGCACTTAACAATTGCTGAAGAACTTAGATGATCAGCTATCGGATTAATTAAATGGCTGTAGTACTGTGCAGATGGCTACACTCGGTACTGTATTGTCCTTTGTCAATATCACTACTTAAAGACGCTTAGAAATCTTGCTCTTGCGATACTATGAACGTCAGAAGTATCTTTTGCAGTTAAATTTTAAGTATGTTCAGTAACAATTCACTGCAGAATACGAAGGAATAAATAATGTTGTTTTAATATAGTTGAATACAGTCTTTCCATTATTATTATTTGAATATATAATATAATATAAATATATAAAGTAATTAACAATTTCTCAGAAATGCACACCTAACCTAAAAGTTCCACCGTTCTCGCTGTACATCGTATATGGATTCCTATCGTGTGGTACGACTGGTGCGTTTGAAAGTCTGCAGTAGTGAAAGAGATAATCTCTAAATTCAAGTACCGTGTACCAAATTAACCTCTAGTTGTAATTACTCGAATCTCCATCGAGATCTAACCTCGCTGCTGTGATTTGCAGGCAAGATGATGGCGGCGTTAGGATTCGGTGCCCTCGGTCTGTTAGCCATGAAGGCGTTGATGGTGTCCGCGCTGGCGCTGATGCTCTCGTTGATCGTGGCCGTGAAGAAGCTGACGAGCGGTCACGACAGCGGTGGCGGGCACCACGTAGTGTACGCGCAGGACGTCGGCCATCATCATTACCGGAAGAAGCGATCGTTCAGCGACGTGGACCACGACCTCCCGTACAGAGGGTACGCGCACCTGTTCAAAGACTCGCGGGTGTCCTGATGCGATCGAGCGAGCCGCACAAGGAGCCGTTCGTCGTAGATCTTCGAGAGCCAAGCCGATAGACTATAATTAACCAGCGAGAAGGAGACCTCACGAGCGATCTACGAGACACGACACGAGACAAGGACGGCCGTTCTGGACAGTGACAATGACGCCGACACGGTAATAGTGACAGACTAGACAGAGACTCCCGTTGGAAAGTGAGGCTTTAGAGATTCGCTTGGCACACGAGGCGCTATACAGAGCTTAGTGATGAAAACGTAACGATCGGTTGTGGACCACGGTGATCATGGGACGGAGCATCGACGACACGGACGGACGCTGGAGAAACCAAAGTACACTTTGTCGAAGCATGTTTATTTATTACCCTTCATTCTCTACACTCATCCATTCCGCCACTTTTGTACTATTTATTTATTACGCAACCGAATAAAAAGTATCCAACTAATTGCCTGACCAAAGCTCGTGTATGCGTGTGCGTGTCTGTTTCATTCTGTCGCTTCACCTCGCGCAGGAGAAACGAACGGAACGAGAGAAATAGAGAAATAGAAAGAAACCGCGTACAGGTTGCAGCTGTTGGAAGAAAATTCGTAATCGAGAACGATGGACCAGATGTCTCGGAGATCTGTCGGGCAGGAGCGTAGGAAAATCGGACGACGGAATCGGAACCGATCGAGGAAAGTGTGCCAACGAGTCGCCATACCGTGCGTTGCATATTTCCTTCTGCATGCTTGCGATGCTCGCGATTAGACTCTCTCGTCTAGCTATTCCTAATCGAACGGATTAACGAGCATAAGGAGGCAAAAAGACCTCAGCCGGAGGACTCTCCCTGCCCCTCGTGATCCGGATGTCCGCGTTGGTGGGACGGTTGTGGGTAAGCGTGTCTCGCAAGTAGAACGACGCGATTGTGTAAGAAATCGTGCAAAGTGAAACGTTCTTCGTGGAACTAACGTCTCTAAGAGCAGTGTGTTCCGAAGTGTGATCGCAATTACCATAAACGTCAGTGCTCCACCGGCCGGTTCTTCCAGTTAATTAACGATTTCATGTACCGATTTAATCGTTCGCGTCTGCTCAACGAAACGGCCGAGACCGTTTATCGTTTACGCGACTAGATCCCACCTTTTCTGCAATATTTTCCGTATCGCAATGGACTCACATGCTCGTCCACATGTTTCTGGAAAACTCTCCGTGACGCAGGATTCGACGCAGTCCGATTTCCGCGAGAGAAACGGCGACGATCGAAGCCGTGGAGCGGCCGATCGAGAGAGTCGGCGCAGTTTCACAGGCCTTCCTCTTTCTATGCACCTTCTCCTCCCTACTCGCGCCGCTTCCCCCACCTGGTCGATTTTCTTCGAACTAGGCCCATTCCCCGAGTTCTTCACCGCCAGCGGGGCCTGGAGGGAGGAAAAGCGTGGTCGGGGGACCGAGACCCACTGACACACATTCCGGACGCTTCCTTTTTTACCTTTGAAATATCATAAAACGGGGGAAACGCGCAGGTAATCGGCTCAGATCGCGCAGTGATCGCCGCGCACGCGCAGCGGACGGACGATGACCGATTGCGAGAGCGCTCTAGCGGAAATACCACGACTTCTCGTTCCTTCCATCATGGCTGCCGACGCAGTATCCCTTCACGCTCATATTTCAACTTTTTTGTCGATTTAAACATAAATTACAGCTCGAAATTTCACTCCTTCTCTCTTCGCCATTCTATTATCGATGTCTACAAACTTTCTCGCTATTCCTGGCTCTTTTCTGAATTAATAAACAGGTTATTTTATCATTCGTTTCAACGTGGAAATATACATTTCTGTTCCACTGATCCCGTTGTGGTATTTTTAATATCCAGGTTTAATTTTTGGGAGCTCGTTAAATATTTTCAAGGGATTTTAATAAAGTTTGCTTTTCGTTTTCCTCCGCTTTCATTTTCTTCCCTCCGTGAAGCTCTCCCGACAACCCCCTCTCGCGTGGCCGGTTTTATCAAAATCGGCACGTAATTCCCGCTCTGCTTTCGTTTTCTTCCCCCGCCCAGGGACGGGCAGAGCGACAGGGCGATTAAAGTTTTATAGCGCCGTAAACTCGAGCGCGACGCGTCTGACGTCAGCTGCATCGCCAAGAGAAAACGAAAGTTAGAACGTTTTCGTGAATGGACCGGCAAAACCGCAACGACGGAATGGTCGCGAGTGTTCCCGGTTTGGTAGACATTCCAAATTTTCGTTCTACATCTAACAATAATATCACGTCAACTCATAAGATCCTCGTCGAAACGCTGTCGAATAATTAATTAATATTAATTAATATGGCGGTTCCTCTTTCACCGTGATAAAGGGGCCCGTTACATTCCTCGCTCATTACGATCGACGAAAGGAAACTTAAAATTCAAATGCGACGATATCGACCGATTTTACGAACGCACGCGTGTCAACCACGGATCCTCGTTGTTCCAAATACTTAAAAATTCCTGTTGGAACGATCCTACGGGTATTAGAGAATAGATACGTCCGAATAAACGTTATCCGATTTGTTAATCGAGGTATCTCTGCAAGTGGTTAACGATGCTACCGGTAAATGGGTGTCGGAGAATTAACGATTTGGGTGTGTGTGATTTATGAATGGCCAGTGGATTCTTTAAATTCCTGCGTCGTAGGATTTTGAGGTTATACGAAGACGGTACTGGAGTTGCCGATGCAATGGTGGCGCTAGTAGTCCGGCCTAACCTAGTTCCGCGTATCACGAAAGTTAGAAAATTTCTGGACTGCGTTGATTAATTAAAATGCGAATACCGTGCACGGGCTGTAAAATTGTTTCGAAAATTGTTTTATAAAATCCCGCAAGTAATTATACGTTCGGCGTGAATTAATAACAACGAGCAAAGGTCTAATTAGCATTTACAAGAACGCTTCTGAACGGTGCGTACATGTTTTTCGGGATTGCCTGATATCTCGGCTTGTCGTTACAAGCTTACACCGATTCACTGGACAGTAAATCGACACCCTGACGAGTAAACGATCCCATCGGATTCGTGTCGACGCGAGGATAAATATGCGTGAATCGGCAACGAGTAGCCAAAATCGGTGAGTCACTCGAAAAAGTGGACTGCGCGAAATTCTTCGACTCTTCCGTTCGACCAGCCTTGACCCCAATCTCGTCTAACATTTTCTCCTATCCAACGGTCGTCGGATGAAAACGTGGTTTCCTCTGAACGCGGCTTACCACCGGATGTGCACGGGAAAATTCGCTCCGATTTCCCTGTTCCTCCCTGTTGACCGACTTTGTCCATTCCTGTTTTCGCAATTTCGAAGTTCGATCGTTAGAAAACGCGAGGCAAATCACAGGGAATTTGCAGGAAATCTCGCGTGCACGATGCGTGGCGTTCTGGGTTAACACGCGGCCGGCCATTAGCGGACCAGTGTCATCGGACGTTTCTCTGGTTCGAGTGAAACTTCGGCCGTGTATGCCAAGCGAGTCGAGGCGAGGAGAAACGTTAAGGTAGCGGGTAACGCGTGCGATGACACCTATTTCGAGTTCACTATTTATTTCCGAATCTCGTTTCGCCGAGAAATTGACGAAAAGGATCGAGAGACCGCAAGGGACAGGTCATTGTCAACCGACAGAGCCGACCGGGTTATAAACAGAGATCCGTGGCATGGTACTGCGGTAACGACACGGCTATGGTAATAAGCCGAGGTAAACACGAGAGAAACTGCGAATGACGAAAGCAAATTTCCTTCATCCTCGATCTACGTGGTCAAACAGAAAAGCTTTGTAGGTCGCCTCGGCCATTCACGAAACATTCCATTACGCGGTGACACTATTCCCTCGTGCATCGTATGATACAACGCACACTTTTCCTACGATTGTCACACCTAGCGAGCCATCGCGTGTCGGCCATCGCGATTCCCCTGGAATTACCGCTAAAACTGAAAGTGGCTGCACCTCGGTGCACGAGGAGCCTGGCTGCTCCACTGACACCCTTTCGCGCCATCCCGAACCTTCTAGAGCATCCTCCAAATTGCATCCCAAACACTCTCGCGAATCGAGCTCCGCTAATCGGCTCGTGCAACAAGACCGAACAAACCGACGCATCCTCGAGTGCCGAACTCGATGCAAAACGACGCGACCAGGATGCGAGAAGTCGCGTAGACTCGGTGAAAGTTTACATAATCCGTTTAACGAGCGATATCAAGCTAATTTCGCGATCCTCGCGGAGATCGTTCTAGTGTTCTTTTAGATCTTACCTGCTGTCTGGGCGTATCCGCTCCTATCCGCTGCTCGCCGTCCCGGAAAAACCTTGGTTTTACTTTTGAACGGATCTCCACCTCCGACCAGACCAAGGATCGACGAAAGGATCCCGGCTGCCACGGCCGAGAAAGGATGAATGAGCACTGACGTAACTTCGGCTGGATTTCCTTTTCGATCCGGTCCCTTCACTGCCATTGTCACGTGCGAAGAAACTACGTCTTATTAGCGCGACCGTGGCACTGCGCGATTATGTCAACGCGACTCGCGTTACGCGACGCAACTAGCTGTGACCTGAGCTCGGTCACAACCCTTGCTTCGGTCTTGACACCATGGTGGGGGAATCCGAGTATCCGCGACGTGGAAAATAATATTATGATATTTTCAACGGACTTGGAAATGTTTCCTAGTCTGAGGTCCTTAACCTTACAGTCGTGGAACCTAGCTAGCTGTGTAATGGAAGCCTGCAGTTACGAAGTCTTTGACAGCTGCTTGCGAAGAATATTCCTACGATTCGCAATATTCGTTAGTAAAATTTTTAAATATTTGCGAGTAGGGATAATTAAGGGAATTAATTTGGATTTGTGACACTTTGAATATCGGTCAATGCTGAGGAATATTTTGAAACCTTGATAATTCTTTATCTAAGAATAAGGTCCTCGTCATTGGCACCTGGTTTTATTCTAATAAGTAGTAACAAGTGGCAATTAATTTTGTATCACTGCCAATTAATATTCTAAAAAGAAATGAAAATTATTAATTAGTATCTCCTGGTCCTTAACTTTAAAATCGTGGCACCTAACTAGCTGTGTAACGGAAGCCTGGAGTTACGAAGTCTTTGACAGCTGCTTGCGAAGAATATTCCTACGATTTGCAATATTCGTTAGTAAAATTTTTAAATATTTGCGAGTAGGGATAATTAAGGGAATTAATTCGAATTTGTGACACTTTGAATATCGGTCATAGCTAAGAAATATTTTGAAATCTTAATAATTCTTTATCTAAGAATAAGAACCTTGTCATTGGCACCTGTTGTTATTCTAACAAATGGCAATTAATTTAGTATCACTGCCAATTAATATTCTAAAAAGAAATGAAAATTATTAATTAGCATCTCCTGGTCCTTAACTTTAAAATCGTGGCACCTAACTAGCTGTGTAACGGAAGCCTGCAGTCACGAAGTCTTTGACAGCTGGTTGCGAAGAATATTCCTACGATTCGCAATATTCGTTAGTAAAATTTTTAAATATTTGCGAGTAGGGATAATTAAGGGAATTAATTCGAATTTGTGACACTTCAAATATCGATCAATGCTGAGGAATATTTTCGAATCTTGATAATTATTTATCTAGGAATAAGAACCTTGTCATTGGCACTTATTATTCTAACAAATGGAAATTAATTTTGTATCACTGCCAATTAATATTCCAAAAAGAAATGAAAATTATTAATTAATATCTCCCAGTTACAACACTCTCACAATTATAATGACGAGCCGATTATACCAGCGACTTAATTAAATTCCATTATGCAAATTAACCCGAAAAAATTCGCCAAAATTAACAGAACCTGTCCGCGAAAATGTGGAACCGAGTGTGTCTCCTCACGAACGCGTAGCCCCAGATCGTTGGCCTGATCGATTTCCCGGATTCACCGGTGATTCCCCGTGGACGAGAGTGTCTCGCGTACGCTGTCGGAATTTCGACGACCTAGCGGCGTGTGTCAGGCAAGAAATTCCAGCGATGGCACCTACACGCGCGGCTATTTCGCAACCGAAATTCCACGGCCGCTTTGTAACCGCTCCAGGTCGGAAGGAACGAAACGAAAACGACAAGAGGCGTGTTATCGACACGGGGGCCCCGTGAGAGTCGCGCAGGGTCAGAGTAGAAAGTGGTGTCCGCGTGTGAGCCGGCCCGATGAAGGTCGGATCCGGGATGTTTGAACCTGATCTATACCAGTTTTCTTTCATTCATGACGATCGAGTTTCGCGCTGGTCACGCGAGGAGAGAGTCACGCCGATTTCTGACCTCTTCCAGCGCAAATTACCGACTAACGAGACTCTTCGCTTACTGCCAGCACGCTTGCATCGATTGCCTGGGATTAGATGTACTAAACGAACACGCAACGGAGTACAGGGCGTCTCTTTCCTGCCTTGACACCTATCAGCTAGGTCTACACGTTTTACCGCTCTCTACCAGCCATTGTTAATTGGAGGAATCTTGTTAATTGCCTCTCCTGGCTTCATAACACTTCCGCGAAGAGAAACGTGGCAGCCTGTCGAGATATCGATCTGTACAGTTTCGTGACTGCAGATCTATACCTTTAGACTCTAGATAGTCTCTCAGGATAACTCTGTGAGCGTTTTACGTGAGATATTACCACGGCTAATTGTCCGAACCTATGTATGTCAAGCTTCCAAGATCAAGTCCAAGTCCAGGTCTGGTTCAGGTTATCTACGGATCTGCCCTTGATTTCCCAATCCTAGAGAATTTTCACGAACAACCTGGGAGAACATGCGTTTAGCCAGGAGAGCAGAGTGACACTTCTGGTAGCGAGATGAAAGGGAAGAACGGAAGAGAAGGTTTCTCCGGTCGTCCCACGGGTGTCCCGTATTCGTTGGCCGTGGGTAGGTCGCAGGTCGTGGCGGATAGATGGGCGGCTGTAAAGCCTGGCAAACACCTATCCGCGTTCGCCGGTCGAATACTTTCGTCGTCCAAGCCGGCTAAACGGCCTGAACGGACCGCCGCGACGCCGTCGAGGCATTGTGACGACACTCGTGCACGGCAAATAGGAAGAAAAAAGAGACAAGGTGGGGCGGTGACGCGGTCGGACGCAGAGGAGGGGCCCGCCAAATATAAGCTAAAGAGATCGTCCGATGGACCACACGAAATTTCACTACGGACGGGACGGGTTTCGGAAAAGGGTAACTCGTCGTTGTGGTAGCAGCTACATCTCGTTTCGTGCCTGGACTTTCCGTTTCAACCTCGAGGAGCATCGGTCAGCAGCCATGAAGATACACGTCGCAGTGGTTTTAACGTCGGCCGTCGTGCTGGCCGCGGCACAGAGCCTGGAGGATTGTCTGCAGAGCGACAGCATCTCTTGCGTGCAGAAGAGCCTGTACCGGAAGGCCAAGGAGTTCTTCGACGAGGACAGCCTCGAGCTGTTCAGTGGTGTTAGCTTGGTGAAGAACGCGGAGGGTCGGGGAAGAAGCTCCAGGACTAGCAAGCAGTTGATTTACGAGCAGGAGATCGACGCTGCTGACAGTGTGGCCGACAGGCAGAGTGCGCTCGAGAACTTCGTCACCGAGGAGGCTGGAGAGTTCCTCACTGGCCGCAGTCTCAGGGTAAATACATCGTGTCAGAGGAGATTATATTTATCCGATCTATGTGAATCGGTCAATACGTCTCTCGATTTGTAGATCAACTTTGCACCTACCTTCGAGAAGATCGGAGAGTCTGCGCGCGCCATCAGCGATGCTGCGCCGGAAGAGGTCCGTCAGGCTGTCAACGAAGTCGTCGAAGGTACCTATTTCCGACTCCCGAAGGAATTATACATTTTTTATTATTGATTACGTTCGTGTTGGGACATTTCTTCACTTTTGTCCTCTTCCTCCCAGGTCGTGGCAAGAAGAAGATGCTGAAAGCGATCCTGCCTCTGCTGATCGCGGCGAAAGTGAAAATCGGTGCACTGGCTACCCTCGCGTACTTCGCCATCGGTCTCATAGCCAAGAAGGCGATCTTCGCGTCGCTCATTTCGCTCGCCGTTTCCGCATTCATCGGTCTCAAGGCTCTCTGGGCGAAGAGTTCTCACGACGTCACACCCTACAACTCATGGAACGGTGGCGGTGGTGGATGGTCGGCGCCAGTGGCGAACGGAGGATGGTCTTCCGGTTCCTCGTGGGACGATTCTCACGCCTATGCGCAGAGTCAAGCGTATTCCGGATACCATCACTAATTCTAGATTAGCTATATTCGTTCAAATTCTTCATCCCTGTCTCTTCCTCCACTTTCCTGTATCTCTTCCTCTCTTCCTTCCTGCCTTCTTCCCCTCGCCCCTTCTTCCTGGCCGATCCAACGATTATTCAGTCCGAATTCCGACGACGATAATTAGCGGATCGATAGGCACTATTTATTGTTATTTATCCAGTTTCGTAACAGTTAGGCGACCACTCTCGCGGTCGCGCGTGTAAATAACGTAATCGTCGTAAGCGCGTACGAATAGGACAAAGGACTTCGGAATCAAAAATAGAGGCTAGTCGCGCCGTCCCGCATCGAATCGGGGCTCGTTTCACCACTCGGTACCACTTCCTATCCCCCGGATCGCAGCCGAACACCATCTAGTCCAGTACGACTTGGATGAACTCTGTCGAACTGCTCTTACCTGAGAGAACCTTTGTAACACCGACGTTTAACCGCCAAATACAGTTTGTACAAAATTACACCCGCTCGTTCAATTACCCCCTGCCTGCCCGGTGTCAAGGGAACATCCTCGTCGAACGACGAGCGTAATCTCGCTGGTCTCGAGCGAGTTTCGCAGTCGAAAATCCTCCCGGATCCGCGCGACGAAAAGAGAAATCACTCGCCGACTTTCCAACCTTCCAGGAACCTCCGAAACGGTCTCCTTTTTTCTCTCTCCTGCTCGTCCGCGTGTTTCACCGGCGAAATTTCAGAGCTGCCGGCCTGGAAACCGGGCGTCGCGAAATCGAGCCGGCGCGACACGTCGAGATGGAAATGGCAGATGGTAGAACAGCGCGGACCACTGTCAAGGGGAAAGTGCACCGGTCGGTGCACGCATCCGGTGGAGCAACGCTGGCTAAGCGCTTGCTCGCGGCGCGCGCGCGGAGGTCGAGAGGCCGAGGCTAGCGTTCGTCATTCTTAATCGGGTCGAGAGGACGGACATTCTACTAAATCTTCCGACCGATGTCTTTAAGTCCCAGATAGAGGAGGAAAATGAGCGACTGGAAAGGAGGTTGACGCAAAATTGCCGTTTCTTCCGTCGGCTCTGGTCAAGTCGCTCCGGGGCCCGCCAGTAAAAATCCTTTTTGCCGCTGCTTTCTGGGCCAATGTTCGACGCGCGACCCACAGGCTGATTAGTGGTTGCAGTCCAGGCGCGAATGTAAAACTCAGCCGATTTGCGCGATCCGCTGGGTTTTATCGTTTCGCAATATCTCTGATGGCTGTCATGACAGTTTCCGAATGAAAACTGAATATGGCGAGTGACAGGAACTAGGGAGTGGTATAACAAAGTGTAAAATAAAAATTGGTACTCTCGTGTTGCTATGAAAATCATTAACCAATGGTCAGCAAATAGTAAAATAGAAATTGGTACCCTTGTGTTGCGATGACAGCTATTAGCCAATGACCACCCTAAAAATTTTAGTGTGATCGTTTTATCGTTTCGCAATGTCTCTGATGGCTGTCATGACAGTTTCCGAGTGAAAACTGAATGGCGAATGACAGGAACCAGAGAGCGGTGTAGCATAGTATAAAATAAAAATTGGTACCCTCCTGTTGCTATGAAAACTATTAACCAATGGTCGACAAGTAGTAAAATAAAAATTGGTACCGTTGTGTTGCGATGACAGCTATTAGCCAATGACCACCCTAAAAATTTTAGTGTGATCGTTTTATCGTTTCGCAATACCTCTGATGGCTGTCATGACAGTTTCCGAGTGAAAACTGAATGGCGAATGACAGGAACCAGAGAGCGGTGTAGCATAGTATGAAATAAAAATTGGTACCCTCCTGTTGCTATGAAAACTATTAACCAATGGTCGACAAGTAGTAAAATAAAAATTGGTACCGTTGTGTTGCGATGACAGCTATTAGCCAATGATCGCCCTAAAAATTGTTACCCTTGCGTTGCTATGAAAGCTATTAGCCTATGGTCGACGAGGAAAATTTGTCAAGATTGATATTTAATTATGGTCCTCGTGGCAAGACGAATAGAGTGGAGATCGGTGAGAATCGTATCGAAAGGTAGCGCCGTTTGATAGAACGAAGGTGAAACGAATCGGGAGAGCAAGAACGCGAGTGTTACGGCTCGTTACGTTCGCTGTACCGCGGCAGGATCGCGAGGGATCCCGAGGAAAAAAAGATGCGGAATTATTTTGAAAGGAAGAGGAGACTTTCGTTAGTGGCGAAGTCACGCGGGGAGAGACACGGTGCATTAATCGTGACGCGGTGTCCAGGCAACTTGTCGTCTTTTATCCCATTCAGCTTGCTGTCCCTCTTCGCGCAATACAATCAAACCTGTCCTGTCACCTTCGTCGGGGCTCATAAAAATTCTCATAAAGATTCAGGAGCTTTTCGACTCTTTGCGACACAGGATTTAGGATTATAAAATAGACCCGTATCGCACAAAAATTTTATTGCGTTTTAAATGGAACAAAATTGGCATACTTTTACTAATAAAGGGATCACACAATGTGAAAACATCAAACTATGAATAAAAGATTATCGTGATAAATCTTCCTCTTGCAACAATTATTTAACCTGTATTGACACGTTAAATGTTGCCAACACGAGCGAATATATTTATAACATTTGTCGAAGGTATTACCAACTGCTTTATATTAACCCTTTGCTCTCGAGAGGTGACTCTCAGTCACCATTTAATAAGATTCTAAAGATCGACGTAAATTAACATATCAAATTTAAAATTACCTAACGATGTGTGGAATGTCGAAGAAAAATAATTCTACGTCTAATTTGCATATAATTTCTCGTTTACCATTTAAAAAATATCGCCGACTCTATGACAGAAAGTCTTCGAATTACTATTTTTCTGTAACGAAAAAGTCGTCGAGTGCAAAGGGTCAATAAGACGAAACATAAACCTATGTGCATGCAGCTATTGCAATATTTCCAGACGGGACTCAAAATGTCCCACCATGCATTACAATTGGTTTATCAAAAAGGTGGGACAAAGATTTAAACAGAGGCAACATCTCTCGAGATTTATATTATTATTGTCTGTATTACTATGTGATACGCAATACTTGGTATATTGGATAATTTGTGCCAGTTATTCGCTAATAAATAAATATAAATATTGTTACGAGATTTTCATATCTACCCAGTATTCGGCTAAGTAAAAGAGCGGATCGTAACTTCAGGGAAGAACAATCCAGCACCTTCTCCAGCCATGGGATTTACAGCTCGGCAAATTTAACCATGATTGGAATTACTCAGCAATCCCATTTCTGGTAAAAATTGTTACGAATCGCGTTTACAATTCTTGTTTTACAAATTCCATCGTTAGATTGCCTAAGATTTCCAATGAATACGTCGCTGATAAGATTTGACCCTACTAAAAGGTTGAAGGCTGACAGCTCTACTCTGAACTTCGGTAAAAGACATCCCATTTTATAATAAACAGCCGATTGTTATTTTATCCGAACATTCTAAAAGGTGCTGGATTGCTCTTCCCTGAAGTTACGATCCGAATATATAGACATGAAAATCTCGTAACAATATTTATATTTATTTATTAGCAAATACCTGGCACAAATTATCCAATGTATTACGTATCACATAGTACTACAGATAATAATAATATAATAATCTGAGCTTCCTATAATTTATTTTACTTTACTAAATCTCCTTAAAAAATTTATTAACAAAAATTGCAAATTATATAACGAGGAATACGATATCGGTAATGGAACTTGGTCCCAAAGCTCTCTTGAATGCATGTTACCATCTGAACACTCTCTCCATTAGCATCGTTGAAGCGAATCGAGTAACGAGTGCAATAATTTTAATTCACGGACGTGAACCCAGGCACTAGACCCCGTAAATCGTCTGGATGTTGCCGAAAGTCGAGCGAAGGCAGAAAAATCGGAACGCGTCGTCCATTAAGTAAGAACGAGGAGTGGAGCTGACGAGCAGGGAAAGAACGAAAGAGGGAAAAAGGGGCGAAAGAAAGAGCCTGGCAGAAAATTGGCGCTGCGCCCCGCGCGCGGTCACGGATCTGCGAGCGAGCGGATGAATAGAGGCTTTCTTTTGGATGTCACAAAAGCGGAATTTCACCTCGCGCTCGTAACGCGAGAGCCTCTATCTCGTTATTAGAGAGTCGTAAAACGTCGGAGCCGAACGAGCGGCTTTGCTCGTATCTAAATCTCGGTACGGTTCTCACGTCACGATTAGTCCCGGCAGTTTCTCATGCGTCACTGGGTTACTTGATTCTCTCTGGTCACCTGTGGATTTCCTAGTGCCTTATTAGCCGCATACCGGCCCATACGCGTGCGCGTCGCCGATAGATGACCGTTGACAGCGATTAGGCCCCGATCCGCGTGATTCGAATCGTTCGGGCCCTGTGTAAATCTGGTAAAAGCGCGACACGGATTCCAGCGGGGAACGAGCCGATGTTTTGGAGTCTGTTTCCGAAGGCTTGTCTGGAAATTGGAAAGTTCGACGTTCGATTTTCAGAAGCCTCCTCCGAACGGGGTTACCTATCGAAAATAACGTATTCGTCTGTGTTTCTCGGTAGTATAACGTATTCGGCTTTATCGTCCGTATCCTGGATCCGAGAGTACCGTTGGACTATCGGAATAGTATCGCGAATTAACTTACAATGGGAACTAGCATAAATAGGGAAATTCAGGGAAATTCACATCTTTCATATCCTCAGCCTCGATTATAGCGCGAAAATAGACGGGAGACCTCGATATAGATCACGATCGTCCGAGGAAGCGAGGGAGCAGAAGCCGGTTTTCCGAGGAAGTCGATCGACACACGCTATACTCGTGTTCCATCGATGTTTCAGCCTCTTGGCACGCAATGCCTTGAACTTTGCCGGGAATTTCGAAACAATCGCCAACCAGCCCGTT